ATTGAAAATTTGACCAATATATATATAGGGAGAGAGGGAATTAATAGTAGGAATTTTGAAAAAAGAGCATAATTTGTCTGCATTGTGATACCAAGACACACCCGGTTTGGCTAAAAAATCGGTTTTTCGACGGCAAATTTTGTCATTGTTTTAACAGTTACATTGGTACAACAATGGTGACAAATCTAAGTTGGCGTCTAAAATCGGTAATTAATTTAATAATTTTAGAGGTAATTAATGAAAAAATATTTTTTAAAAAAAAACGTTTTTAACATCAAGTGTCATGCACTACATTTTTTAAAAAAAATTATTTGAACTTCATAGGATGAATAGAAATTTTTTTATTACCAATTAAAATTTGAACAAGATATATATATAGAGAGAGAGAGATAAAGAGAGCTAATAGTTGGAATTGAAAAACGACACATGAGAACACATTAAAAATAGGTGTTATAGAACAAATTAATGAATGAATTGATATGCAATATATTTTCATTGCATTTACTCTTTTCATTTACTTGTTTTTATACATCAAAATGCAGGTTACTAACTATTTTTACGAGAAATGTTCAGATTCAGTTGTTAACGATAGAAGTAAAGATTACTGTAATGTTATTACAAGGCATACAATAATATAAAAGATTTTTTTAGTGATTTAGGCAGCAAATTTTATAACTATATTTTGTAGAATTTTATTCTCAATTTGGCTTTTTTTTTAAATCTTAAATCATTAAATAAAATCGCTGAAATTAATGGAAATGAATATCGGTGTTGTATTTGACTAATATCATTTATTTATGTCCTTATTGTAAGCAATATTCTTAAAAAAATATTCAAATTTATTTCTTTTAGTGTTTTTTAGTAAGGGGTATGGTTATGTATGTAAATATCTAATTGTGGCTTGTTAATTTACATTTTTTGTGTACTTGAATAGAGCAGCACTCAAGTGTCTGACGACAGTATTTTTAGGTCTGAATTGGTATACTCTGATCGTAATTTTACAATGGGTGAATGTATATGAGTGTGAATAAAATGAAATTCAATGATCGATTTTTCTAATTTAAATCTTTGAAATGCTGCTTTATTTAAGGGTGTGTATTTATTGCATATGTAGTGCATTATTCAAATGTGTTCCGGTACAGTATTAAGAAATCTCTATAAGTGTGATACAGCTTGTGGTTTATGCTTAAGATATCAATGCAATGAGAATGGATCAATTTAAAATGGTGATATTTGTATCTCTTAAATAGTTAGTCTGCCAGTACTCGAATTAAATTTCGTAAGATAAGGTTAACTCCAGCAATAAGGTTCCAATTCCAGCAATACAGTCTGTCACTTTAGTGTTAAAACTCCACATATTTTACCGGGGTAATTGTAAATGTCATTCCTATTTCTATAATCGTTGTGTAACTTTTAAAACTAATTAAAAAATAAAGATCGTGCACATTACACAAATTTTTTCAATTATCTCGATTCAGAATAACTATTCTTTCAATATTTACTCAAATTATAAAACTAAATTTATTTTAGAAAAATAAGATTGATTATATTTTTAAAACTAAAGCTAAAGAGTTATCAGAAATAATTAACTTAACCTTCTCTTTTTGCTAAGCTCTCCCACAGGTTGCAGCTACCTTTGCAGAGTGGTCATGGTCGCAAATATAGGGTCAGCGTTGTCGAGTTAAAGGCTCGAAACCTAGCACCACTGAAGACCCACTCTGTAGAGGGCCTGATGCACGTAAAATATGTCAAGGCACAAAGTCATTCTGTTGGAGTGGTGGGAGTGCATGCAGAGGAGGGTGTTAGCTCAGGTGTCGGCATCGTCATATGTTCGAGGTTTAAAATTATGAGGTCCATCCTTAATTATCCTGATGTTCTGCGTTACAATGAGACGTAAATTAAAATCAAATCCAACCCATAGGTCGTGAAAACTTTATATATTAAAGAATGTAGTTGTAGATCGTAAAGTAATAGCAAACAAATGACAATAGTAAGACTATGTCTATTGTAATCTAGTACATTTTTTCTGACGGAATCGAACTTACATAAATTCTTGATAACTAGTAATTACACTTTAAATTTTTTTTAATTCCGGGAAGAAATGCAAACAACATAATTGTATTTGTTGGGTGAGTGAACATTTAAATCTCATTATTCAGCTACTCGAGGGCTTTTGGTGACAGACCTCGTAATTTTACGCTATGGTCAAATGACAAAGACAACAAATGACAAAGACGACACGTGAGCTTACATCCCCCCTCTCCTAACTTCCACATCCCCAAACGAGCTCTCAACAGATTTAACGGGCATCGCCTCTACAAGGCGTATCTTCAGTGTTACTAGGCTCGAACTCATGACACGCCGGTCACAAGTCCGTTACCTTGACCACAAGACTACTGCGGCCTTTTGTATTTGTTGGACAAATAAATTATATTAGGAATAGCAAATGGTTAAATTTCCAATTAATATGGAAGAATAGATCCTGAGAAATAAGTATTTAGTGGGATCCCCCATGGGAGCAGAAACAGCTCTTATACTTCTGGACATTGAGTCAAACAGAGATTGTATGGCATTTACAGAAGCAGTTTGCCCATTCAGTTTCAAAACGATGCAACAGTTCATTGACTGTAGTGACGACAGCCATTGTCCAGACGTTTTCTTTTGGTGAGAGATCAGGAGAACGTGCTGACCAGGTTGGCGTCTGAACATTGCACACTCAGATTAAATTTTCAAGAAAATGGAAGCATAGATCCTGAGAAATTGTGCATATTGCAATGCGTGAATGATCCCATAGAAGGAACTTCGATGCATATCTTATGCACATTTTTCATGTAATCTCATTAATATAGAAATCTTTTGCTTTGTCTGAAAACAATAACTCGTTGTATGTTACCATTTAATGTACGGCATTATCATATTTTCTTCCTTTGCGTATGAAATGAGTTATTGATTTGTATCACCCTATAATGTAGTTCTCATTGCGATGTCAATAAATTGCACCACAAAAATAATAAGAGTTTCTCTTTTTATTTTTGCATGTTTTTGAATGTCACTTTCTCTGTTAGAAAAATCGAAGAAATGTTTCCTAAAAAATAAGTTTTATCAAATGTCATTAAAATTTATTCACTTGATTTTAGTGCTTCCACAAAGAAGAATGACGTGTTGTGAATACCAACACAATGAATTTTATTACCTGTTATCACGAAAACTGAGAACTGCAACAACAGTTACTAGAATAAATCGGTTCTGAGAATGGAACTATTGACTAAGTCCTTTACGAAATACACAAACCCAAAAGCTCTGAATAACAACAGGTGGCCTCTTGGTGGTACCCACTGTCCGTTACTATGACTACCAGTGTTTAAGGCAAAAGTAGTAAATAAAACATATTATCTCTTATAACAACGCATTCTGCACATACACACACACACAAGCGAAAAGAATATCCCATATTATTTCACATGAAGTACGTTTCAGAAACGGATGTTATAAGACTTCGATTTCCAGAATTGCAAGGAGAGAAAATAGAAAGGTTTTTTGTAGGGGTTCAGGGGATGAAATAGATTGAGTACCTACACTCACGCTAGAGTGATAAATTATTTCGCTTCAATGCAAAGATAGTATTTTATGAAAAAGTATATTCTAAGGAAAACAGAAAAACATATTTTTTATGAAGTTTTCTTGTAATATCATTTCTCATACTGTTATATGTTCTGTTAAAGGATAAAAAATATTTCATGGCTGCTTTCCCTATTGATCGTGCTTACACATGACGTTATATAATTGGTTTCGAAGATGATAACTTGATTTGAAACAACACATTTTCTTATTGTTTCTTATTTTTTTCCTGTAAAAATCAGCATTCAGAACAATTAACTAAACTGCTTTTTATAAAGCATTGCATTTATTTGCAGCTAGTGTTTCCAAAGACTAAGATATTATATTTTATAAATATTACTGACGCTCTGAAAACCGATGCAAGCATAATTTTACTTTATGTAAGGCTTGGAAAGGATTTTGCCAAAAATATAGCTCCAGCGATAGTTTTTTTAAATTTAAATTTCATTTGGAAATGTGAATTTGACAACCCGAAGCCCGAATGATAAAATATTTAAACAAACCTATTTCAAGCATTTTTATAGATTCAAAATCAGACAAAATATTTTAAATTAAATGCTGGAAAATTCTGTAATTCTGTAAAGCTTATTTATGTAAGTGTCAAATTATATAAGTCCTATTTCGAAATATATAAAAATTTATTTACAATTTAATTAAATTTAAATGCAACATACCATTCTCCATTAAAATTTGTCTTTTATTTCAATGAGAAAAGTTAATTAAATTGGCAACATTAGTTTAAATAATTGGCATATACATTGCGAAATTTTGCTATTGTTACAAAATGACAAAATTTTAATCGCAAATAAAATTATGTACTATTTTGGCCAATTTTAAATTATATGAGTTACGCGATTCTTTTAGAGATTTATGATCTGAAATTTTACCAAATTTCAGTAAAGTTAACGTTTTTTAAACTGATAGTAAAAAAAAAATCTGCAAGAAAATGATCAACATTCTGAAATTAACCTTATTTATATATCCATGTATTTTGGGAATAGAAAATGTTTACAAAATCTTATATAACCTTATTACAATAAAATCACATAAAAATTATATCTGTAAACTAATTATTTATTCTTTCCAGCACATTTAACATTATCCTAGCTCAGGATTACATTTTTCAATTCCTACTATTTGTTCTCTCTCTCTCTCTTATGTATATATATATATATATATATATATATATATCTTGTTCAAACTTTCAATCGTTAATAAAATACTTTTTATTCATCCATTCAAGTTCAAATACATTTTTTAAACTTGTAGTGGATGACACTTGATGTTAATACATTTTTTTCAAATATGAATTCATTAAATAAATAGTAACAAACAAAAATAATAGTCCATCAGTATATATAGAAAGGAAAATCTTTCGTTGTTTCCCTGTAGCGCAATGGATAGCGCGTTGGTGTTCTAATCCAAAGATCATGGGTTCAAATCCCACCGGAGATGGCTTAATTTCTTCGTATGTGATTTATTTTTTACTATACTATTTTATTAGATTTAAATTTAATTAATGAATAAATAGTAAAAAACAAAAGATCAGTCCAACACTATATATAGAAAGAAAATGAAAATTGCTTTCTATTTTGTCACTTAATATTGTGATTCTGTCATGTGTATATACATATTTATATTAATTGTAACTAAGTAAATAAAAGTACTAATAAAAAGTAACTAAAATAAAAGTTTTCTTTGTTGGCCTAAGTAGGAATTGATTAATTTTTTTATATTACTTGTTAAGTTAATTAAATATAATCAACTTGATTTACTTAATATTCTTATGGTAAAGACAAGTTCTGAAATTCCTGATAAGTATAACTTTTTTATCTAATATATTTAGTTTTTAACTATACTTATGTTTCAATAATTTTAGGGTATATTTATAGCTGGGATATAGATTTTTAACACTAGAGGAATTGTTTCAAAATGTCGAAAATGGCGAGATGAAAACTCTAATGTGATATCTGTTAATATAAAAGAATCAAGAAAATACTGAAGTGAAATAATTAAATAATACACTTAAATATTAGATTTTATTCATTGTACCCTTTAGCGAATACTGAACTCATTCGGTTAAGTCCCGTTGGTTTAATTGCTTGAGGATACGGATCAGAAATTCAACATATATCAAAATAATGAAAACATCTGTGAATGAAAGTTACATTTTTGAATGCGCTTTGTAAGCATTAAAGTATAATAATAGTCATTTGTTGTTTTATAAATAGAAATGTATGTATTCTTGTAGTATGTGGTAGCTTTGGAATTTTTCAAGAGCTTAAAATGTCGGACCTCTCAGATTTTCAAAGAGGTCACATTGTAAAAGCCCGTCTATCTGGAGCAAGTGTCAGCAAAACATCCCAACTGTTTTAGCCATTTTTAAATATACGGTGTTTAAGTCATGACATTACGGTGTTTTAAGTCAAGCTCGGTAAAGCAATATAGTGGACGAAAAGAGAAGCTCAGTGAAAGAAACAGATGACTATGGGAGCAGACTGTAATGTCTAGAAAGTGAACAACCGTAACGAAAGTAACCTCAAAGCCAGTGGCTTAACGTGCACCCCAGCAGTGCGGAGGGGAGAGGAATCCAAGGGGCTCAAAACGTGACTGACATCATTATATTATGATTTTGCAATCCTTTGTAAAATCTGACTTGGAGCACAAAACTTGACTTTGCAAGGGGCCCCTAATATTACGGGCCCCTCCGTTACGACATTGCGCAGAGCTCATTCAGCATCTGAATATTCTACAGTCAGATTACCGTCAGAAGACCTTTCATAAACATAACATTTACGTCAGAGCAGCAATTCCCAAGCCACTTCTCACAGATGCTAATGCTAAACGTCATCAACAGTGGTGTCAGATTCTCAAAACCAGGTCAATTGATAAATAGAAGAAATTAATATGGTCTGATGAATCATTTTTCGCATTTGTCCCTACAACAGGACGGGTGAACGCTTGGAGGACATCTGCACAAGCGTATGATCGTGATCGTCTCTTTCCAACTATGAATCATGGAGATGAATCCTTCCTAAAATAGGCATCCACGTGGTGGATTTTAACTCGACCACTCGTAACCCTTAAAGGAAGGATCACTGGAGAGAAGTACGAGTATAGAGAAATTTTATCCGACCAGGTCTATCCTATGATGGAATTTTCCAGGATGATAATGCACCTATCCTAATAGCGGGATTTGTCCAATCATGATTTGAGGAACGCGAGAATGAAGTTATACATCAATTTTGTTCCGCACAGTCACCCGACCTCAATATAATTGAACCGTTACGGTCTACATTTAAACTTTAAATACAGGATTGATATCCCCCACCGAATCCTCTCCAACACTTTCACAATATCTCCAAGTAGAATGGTGCACTATTCCCTCTCTCTCTCTAAACCAGAGATTCCCAAACTTTTTTGTCTCATAGACCCCTGGCCATGTTTTTCGGTTTGGAGTAGACCCTTTCTTAATTAATAATGAATTTGTGCAAATTAATCAGCTTAAATGTCTTTTTGACAGCTAGTACTACTACTCCTACTTTAAAAGAATTAAATTTCTAACTGTAAGGAAGTGTTTAAAATTTAAAAAACACATGTTAATTAATTAAATTAAAAGTTAATTAATAAATATAAAACAGTTATATAAACTAACTAAACAAAAACAAACTATTTTAATGGGAGAGATGAATCTCTAGCACTACAATATCAAATTTTCAACATTTGGTATCGATCTTGTCTGGTTTAACCTTAAATTTCCCATGTTAATCCTAGCTTTTTTTTTTTTTTTTTTGAGATAGAAACCGCGCTGAAAATCCTTCACACTAGGAAAAGTAATGAAAAACTTCCTCACGGTATTCCATAAGTCGAGACAAATAATAGTTTTGACTTTTTAAAGCCAAAATTGCTGGCATCCGTTTCTGATCGTTGTTAGTGTTTATTACGATTAGTTCCTATTGTCAAGTGACATTTTTTTTCAACATGACCATATGTATCCATTGCCTACTGTGGTATTTCCATAGTGAAAGTATTCTCAAAACTGGTTTCAAAATCTGAACAAAAAGCATTTGAGTGTTGAATGTACGTTAAAACGTTCTGACAGATTGTCTGTGACAAATTTAGAAAAAATTCTTGACTTCCCGTATTATACTTCTTTAGCATTATTCAGGAAAGAAAATCTGAAATAGCTCTTGCTTTAATAAAATTTATTCTGTTCCCTTGTAAATACAAATAAACTTCATTAAATTTAGTAAATAAATTTGTTAAATATGTAAAATTTGATTTCCACTTGGTTTTGGTTTCTGTAATTTTTTTAAAATTAAAGTCACGGACTAGTTTAATAAGAGCTACTATCATAGACCCCCTCCCCCAAATTAATTTTTGGATCACGTAGACCCTTTGGAGGTCAAAATAGACCCCTGGGGGTCTATATAGACCACTTTGGGAATCACTGCTCTAAACGCTTTGCAGTACTCGTATGAATCGATTCCTAGGTGAATATAAACTGTATTACATGTCAAAGGCTGTCCTACACAATACTAAAAAAAAGATTCTTTATAAATCTAATGTGTTTCATTAATTTTGATAATCACCTGTAACTTAATGATGTAGTAATGTAAGTAAATGGATTTGCTTTTAAATTGAATACTATGTAGTACATTTTGAAACATAAAAAATATTTAATTTTACAGAGAGGTAGTACATTTCGGAGGTTGATGTAAATGCTATTCAGTATTTTTTTGTAAAATGTTTTGTAAAAATTTTTTTCCTCAGAATTAATACCATGACGAATATCTTTTTTGTGCACGAGTTTTATAATTAATAATTTTACTCTCTTAAGTCTGGATAAATAAAATACTAATTTCTTAATGGAAATGGAATTTTATCATTGTTTTCTCTAAAAAAATATTTTGGTAAATTTCCTTTTCATTAAGAAGCATTAATTAATAACTTTTTCTTGGCCACTTTTTCTGCTACGTGATACTTTATCTCGCCCTCACTTACTTTAATTATTCTAATTTTTTTCCACCAGACGTAAGCAAACCCATATTTATTTACACGCAAATGTTAAATTTCTTTCTTAGTTTTGTATCATTGTTCGAAATTACGAATGTTTTCCCTAAGAAGCGTAAGAATTTTTTTTTTCGAAAATACCATTAAGAAAATTCTTTAGCATATCAAAAAAGAAAAAAACAAACAAATCCAGTTTTCTGGAAGAAAAACAGAAAGCATTTTAAGAGTCATTTAAAGACTTTACAATTAAAGGTTGGGGAAGATTCGAGAAAATTTAATAGAAAATATTCAAAGAATGTGTTCTTAATTTCGCTCTCTCAAATTATGTTTTAATAGTTTGAATAATTAACAAAACCTTAAATAGTTATTGGTATTTTTAACCTTTTATTTTAAACAAATAATCATTAACGTTTTCATTAAAGAAAATGGCTGTTTTCTTTTTTATAACATGACAATTCTTTCATCGTTATTTAACAATAATTAATTTTTTAATAAGTTTCCTCAGTTACAAAATAAAAAACGACGCACAAAGAAGGAATTATAGAATTGCGATAAAAATTGGTGGATGTAAAAAACATACATAGAAAATAAAAAATTAAAATGTCCAAACATTTGTATGTGTATAACGAGGTTTGACCGTTACAAAGGGAGGAAGTAAATAATGCGTTGGTCAACCTCTGGCCTGGATACACACACACAATCTGTCATTCGGCGTGGCCAAGATAGTTAATGTTCCCAAATTCTGTCCTGCCGAATTTTGTGCCAAATTGTCTCCAACTGTTGGGCTAAATCGTGTACATTCTGGGATGGTTGTAATTGCCTGCCTATAACATCCCAAATGTGCACAGTGAGATAGAGATCAGAAGACCTAGCTGGCCAAGGAAACCAAGGAAGTGTAGGGCAAGCTTGAACACAATTCACAGCAACTCGCACCTTGGGCAGTTGGACATTATCGTGTTGAAATTCAAGTTCCGGGTGTCAAAAATACAAAGAACTTCTCAAATTTCAATTGTTACTTGTAAAAAAATAGAAAAAAAATAGAATAAATATTCTAGTCCTTGATAATTAAAAATTTCTTCTTGGTTTTAAAATGATATTAACTGTGTTACATAAAAAATACTTAAACAAACACACACAGTATTAAAAAACGCGTTTTAAGTAATTGAAAACATATGTTACTTTACTAACTACAATAAAAAAATATTTAAATTTAATGGTAGAAGTTTAATGATATTGTTTTTTTAAAAATAGTTATAAAAAATATATCCTTAAATCAATAATTAAACAAAGCTCCTTAGTGAAAAATTTATTTAGATCATTAATTAGAGGTATAAAAGACAATAATGAAGCAAATGCAATTAAATTAAGAGATAAAAAAGCTTCATATCGAATTTCTAATAATTTCTCTGTGTATTTTTTCCCATCATCTTCAAAAAAACAAA